CATGGCAGGCAGGAAGTGAACCTGGCCGGTGGCTGCATCTGCCTAGCTTTAATCCAGAGCTATTTGGCCAGCCCTCAAACTGCTCTTAATGAACCTCTAAACTGTTCCGGTAACTCAGTGGTAGAGTACTTTTTGTTTCTTTGAGATAAGGTCTTGCTATGTAGTTCAGGTTAGCTTTGAACTCACTATGTGACCTATGATGGTGATCCTCCTTCCTCAGCCTCCCGAGTGGTGAGATTACAGGGATGCACCACTGCTAAGTGCTTGGTTTTGTCTTTGTTCTTTTGTTTGTTTGTATCTGGAATCAAACTCAGGACTTTGCTTGCCAGGCAGGCACTGTGCCGCTGAGCTACATCCCTAACCCAAAGTGCTTTTGTTGTTGTTCTGTTTTGTTCAACTTGAAACGGAGTCTCTATGTTCCAGGCTAACCTTGGAATGCAGAGCAATCCTCCTGCCTCAGCTTCCCAAGTGCTGGGATTACAGCCATACACCACGGGGCCTCGCTGCTGCTCTTTTTCTTCCATTCTAGGAACTGATCCCCAGCACCAGCCCTTTAATTTAATTTTATCTTGAGACAGAGTCTCTGCAGATCAGGCTGGCCTTGAGTTCACTATGTAGCTCAGGCTGGGCTCCAACTCACAGTGATCCTCCTGCATCAGCCTTCTGAAGGTTAGGATCACAGGACACCATCTGGCTTTTCTTTTTTCTTTTCTTTTTTTTTTTTTTGCAGAACCAGGGATTGAACTCAGGCCCTTGGGTTTGCCAGGCAAACGCTTACTCTACTGAGCCATCTCCCCAGCCCCTGGCTTTTCTTTTTGAGACAGGGTGTCTAAATTTTCCACGTTTGCCTCTAATTTGTGATCCTCTTGCATGGGCCTCCAGTGTAGCTGGGGTTACAGCCACGAGCCACTAGCCCTTAGCTAGCTGCCAATTCTTGCTTTTGTATTTTCCAGTTCCTGTTTTCAGTCTCTGGTTGAACAAAGAAAGAAACCTGCCCCAAGCTATTCTGGAGGCTGAGGCAGGAGGGTCATCAATTTGGCTAGCCTAAGTAGCCTCAGGCACTTAGTGAGACACTGTCTCAAGAGTTTAAAAAGATCTGGGGATGTAGCTCAATGGTTGAGTTCCTCTGGGTTTAATCTC